TCGGTTTGTTAAGTCAACTAAATTATCTGATAGAGTTAAAAACAAACTCATTTCAGAAGAAGAAGACGACACAATACCAAAATTTATTCAAAAGCTGAAAAATATCTATAAACCTAATCAAAATCCATTAACAGTCCAGAATAATTTAACACATTTGCGACAAGGTACCCAAACTGTTGCACATTTTGTTTCTAAAATTGAGGAACAAATAGCAATTTTAAACCAAATATATATAGCTACTCAGGGTGACCAAAATAAACAAGTAATAATGAAAATGACAGATCTCACAGGATTAAATGCATTCACCAATGGACTCAATGAGAGACTTAGGAATATAGTAGCAGCAGCAAGGCCAACTACTCTAAACGAAGCTGTACAAATTGCTCTAAGTGTAGAAACACAAAATAGAAGCATGATACAACAGCAACCAAACAGGAATTTTCAGCAAAGGAGCGGATTCTCGAATAATAACAGAAATGCGAATGAAAATTTCAATAGGAATGCATCAAACCAATACAACAATTCCAATAATCAAAAAAACTGGAACAACCCCGGTTCACGAACCCCGGGGCACAACCTAAAGCAGTATCCAAATCACAACCTAGGTCACAACCAAAACAATGGTTACAACAATCGAAACAATTACAACCAGAACAAAAACAAATAATACATTTTAAAACGATAGAAAACATTGATAATAGTATTAATGTTAAAACTTCTTGTAGCAATAAGTATATAACTTTATTAGTAGACACAGGGGCAGAGATATCAGTAATAAAAAAAGGTATAATAGGGAAGAGCAATTTTGATAACACAAAAAACTGCCAAATAAATGGCATAACAGCAGGAAAAACAACCACAGAAGGTTTAATAGATATAAATTTATTTTTTGATGGTAAAACAATACCTCACAAATTCAATGTCATAAAAAATAATATAAATTTACCTACAGATGGTATATTAGGTAGAGATTTTTTGATAAAACATAATTGTAAAATAAATTATGACACATGCGTATTAGTGATCTCAAACTCAGAAGATGAGATAGTCTTACCCTTGAATATAAAAATAAAAACCATTAAAAACATCCAAATACCGCCCAGGGTAGAAGTAATTCAAGTAGTTGAACTAAATACAAAAGAAGACAGTTTAGTCTGTGGAAAATAAATAGTGAAAGGAGTATTCATAGCTAATTCATTAATACCTGCCAAAGGTATACAACATATTAGGTTATTAAATACTAGAGATACACCTGTAGAATTAGAATATGCAACAATAGAAATAAAACCTTTAAATAATTATAACATACTTTCATATAATTCTAATCGAAATTCATATACATTTGAAAAAATTAAATCGAAATTAAAAATTGATGGTTTAGATAACATAGCCAAAAATTCAATATTGAATATTTGTAAAGATTTCCAAAACATTTTTCATATAGATGGAGAGAAATTAACTATAAACAATTTTTATGAACAGCATATATCTACAATAGATAAAACACCTATATATATAAAGAATTATAGGATACCGAACATTCAAAAGGAAGAACTAGAAAATCAAGTAAAAAGTTATTAAATGATGATATAATAGAACCATCAGTAAGTCCTTACAACTCACCAATTTTAATAGTACCAAAAAAGGGACAAGAAACATGGAGATTAGTTGTAGATTTCAGACAGTTAAATAAAAAAGTAGTAGACGATAAATTTCTACTAACACGTTTGGAAGATGTTCTAGATAAGTTAGGTAAGGCGAAATATTTCTCTACATTAGATATGACTAGTTCATTTCATCAAATCCCACTTAATCACAAATCAAAACCTTTAACAGCTTTTTCAACAGAAACAGGTCATTTTCAATTCAAGAGATTACCTTTTGGATTAAAAATTTCAACAAATAGTTTTCAAAGAATGCTAACATTAGCATTAGCAGGTTTAGACTCCTCAGCATTTTTATATGTAGATGATGTAATAGTTTTTGGTTCTAATCTCAAAGAACACAATAACAATTTAATAAAAGTATTTAGTAGATTATAACCGCACAAGGTGTGCGTACAGATCCAAATAAACACGATGTAATAAAACATTATCCTATACCAAAAAACTCAGACGAAGTGAGAAGGTTTGTAGCAATGTGCAACTATTATCGAAGGTTTATAAAAGATTTTGCTGAAATAGCCAGACCTCTAAACAACTTGCTTAAGAAAAATCAAATATTCTGCTGGTCGGTAGAATGTGATAAATCTTTTAATAGTTTAAGAGAAAAGTTAATTTCACCACCAATCTTAAGTTATCCAGATTTTTCAAAACCATTCGTTTTAACGACAGATGCTTCTAATTATGCATTAGGTGCAGTACTGTCACAAGGAGAAATTGGTAATGATAAACCAATAGCATTTGCAAGCAAAACATTAAATAAATATGAGTTAAATAAACCCGTGATAGAGAAGGAACTTCTTGCCATTCATTGGGGTATAAATTATTTTAGACCATATTTATTTGGGAGAAATTTTACAGTTTATACAGATCACAGACCTTTAGTTAGTCTATTTACACATAAGAACCCATCATCAAAACTAACTAGAATAAGAATAGATCTCATGGATTATAACTTCAATATAGTATTTAAACAAGGAAAGATGAATACTAATGCAGATGCATTATCAAGGATACAACTAAATTCAAAAGAATTAGTTGAAATGATTCCTAAAAATATAAATATATTAACCAGAAAAATGAGCAAAGAAATGAATGAAAAAGATAACAAAATCGCACAAGTACAAAATGAAGAAATAACCTTAAAAGCTAACACGGAGATTGATCACCTCCACATGTGGAATGCAACATCGGTATCGGATGTAAGGTATTTAACAAAACTTGAATTCAAGAATATAAACCATTCTGCAGATGGAAACAATGAAAAAGCACTTGAACATGGAAATAAAAAGTTCAATAAAAATAGTGCAATATATATAAAAATAGCAGCAAAAACTATAGTTGTGGAATATGACGAAAAATCATTATCAGAGATAAAATTGATTCTGAGGAAGTTATTATTCAAAATGGACAACTTAAACATAACAAAGCTAGCATTGGCGGAAGATGAAGAAATATTTAATAACATAAGCATGCAACAAGTAAAAGATATATTTAATAAGCTGCAAAAAGAATTAAAATTGAAAAATTGTCTAGACATAATTATTTACAAAAAACCAAAAAGAATTAATGATACAAATGAAATGCTCAGGTTAATAGAAGAATATCATAAATCACTACATGGAGGACATTGCGGTATAAAAAGATGTATAAACAAACTGAAACAAAAATATGTATGGAAAAATATGAATAAAATGGTTAAAAAATTTATCAATAACTGTGAAGTATGCGCAAAAGTTAAAATAACAAAATACACAAAAGAACAGTATGACATAACTGAAACACCAAACACATCCTTTGAAGTCATAACAATTGACACAGTAGGCCCACTTATACCTTCAAATAATTTCAGATATATTTTGACACTTCAGTGTGAATTAACGAAATTCATAGAAGCAATACCTTTAAAAAATAAAGAAGCTATCAGCGTTGCTAAAGCAATTGTTGAGAAATTCATTCTTAAATATGGTTGTTTCAAAAAGATGAAAACCGATAAAGGTACTGAATTTACAAACGAACTTCTAAAAAATATTTGTAAACTATTAAAAATAGAAAAAACCACTTCAACACCATTCCATCATGAAACATTAGGGACAGTTGAGAGAAATCATAGAGTTTTAAATGACTACTTAATGACCATGAAATCAGTAGATACATGGGATGAATTATTACCATACTATGTTTACAGTTATAACTCGACTCCGCACACTACAACAAATTACACTCCATTTGAATTAGTATATGGTAAATTATGTGCGTTACCATGTGAAATACTAGAAAATAAAAAAATGACATACGACATTGAAAATTATTGTAATGAATTAAAATTAAAACTAAAATATGCTCAAACCCAAGCTAAGCAAAAATTAATACAATACAAATCTATAACAAAAGAAAAACAGAAAAATATTAATGAATCAAATTTCAAAGTAAATGATTTTGTTTATATTAAAGTAGGAAACAAAAAGAAATTTGACAATCCATTTAAAGGCCCATATAAAATAGTGTCACAAAAAGGTAAAAATAGTACCGTATTAATAAATAATAAATATGTAGAACTACACAACAATAATTTAATCAAATGTAGAGCTAAAGAAAATTTTAAATGTAATTAAATATTAAATTAATATATTAATATCAAAATATGTTATTATTAATCTCATATAATTATTATATACAAAATACAAATTAAATACATTATATTATACTAAATATGTTAACGAAAATATATTATACAAACATTAAAATGAATACATACTATACAAATAGTAAATTTTAAATTAAAATTTTTTGATATGGATTAGTATCATAGTGGATCTGACACTAAAATAAATAAGATAAAAACAATAAATAAAATAATTAATATCATAAATTAATTTAAATTTGTAGAAATTACAATTAATTTACACTTTTCTTAAGGGGTAGGGTGTGGTGCCCATGACCTACATCATTGTT